ATTAAGTTTTTATGCATCATACACGATTTCACCATTAAAGCTAGCTAGGGTTCTTCAAGCTCCAAATTGGGCGTTTACGTATATGGTAAAATCAAGACATCTCAGTGCCATGGTTAAAATCAGGAAGCTTGGACGAACATAACTACCCTATCGCGCCTAATTTATGTAGCAAGACGAGCTATTCGATATTTTTGAAAAGGGTACATTTTGGGGGAGTTTAAAACCCCCGCTAATTCGTTTTATGTTTCAGGAAAAATGCAAACAAGGAAGAAGAAGATTAGGTGGCGAGCGATGGTTGGGTAGTTTGAATTCAACGCGCGTTTTTTTTTATTTCTATGTCACTAACCAATTTTCCATTATAATAATTATTTGTCATTCCATAAACAAGGCGCGCGTTTGGTACAAATGGTGAAGGCATTATCTCATAAGGCACTGGGACCTGGGTTCGATTCCCAGGTCCCCCACTTTGTTCAATGTTTTTTCTTTCAACATAATCCCATGCAGATTCAATTCAAAGGCCTATCATACGCCCCTAATCCAAGCGTGCCACATGGCCACGGAGGGCAATCCAAAGGTTGAGATCTGATGACCACCATGGGCATGAGTCAGACGTGTCATATGCAAGCCAATAAAGTCAACGAGGCCAGGAACTTAATGGGCCTAAATTGCTGGAACAAAACCTCCACTTGGGGTCAGCACCCCCTAGGGTTTGTGTTTATTTTTTTTTAATCTTTTTTCTTTATTATTTGTTTAATTTCATTATTTCCTCTTAAAACTTTGAATTAATATTTTCATAAAACATAAAAAATAATAAAAATCAGAAAGTCATAAAAATCAAAGATATATTTTATTTTAATATTTTTGTAAATAAAAATCATTAATTAATTTAGTTTTCAATTCTAGGATTAATTTTGACATTTTTCTTAATAAACTTAAAATTTGTAGAATTAGGGTTTTAATCAATTTTTATCCTCTTCTTTTCTTTTTATTAATAATTAATCGTTTATTTTTGTAAATAAAATTGCATTAATTAATTAGGTTTAATTTTAGGTTCAATTTTAATATTTTTTCTTAATAAATAAAAATAGTTAGAATTAGGGTTAATTAATTAATTTCTTAATTTCATTTAATTCTCTTATTAAAAATCCATAAATACAAAAAACCTCAAAAATAATTTCTTTTTATTTTATTTTAATTAATTTGTTAAATCGTAATTTAATTTCATTAAAAAGGGTCCAACGCCCTCGCTTTCGATTATTAATTTGTTTCGCACATTTTATTTCTTTTCTTATAATATTTATGTAATTCTTCCAAAGCCGTGTAAATTAAACATTTATATTTCTCGCATCTTTATTTTATGTCAAATCGGGTCCTGGATTTAACTTGGCGATGTGGACCCGCGCCTTTGTAATAGTTTAGGAACTTTATATTTCTCGCAACTCTTTAACTGCTAATAAATTGCATGCAAGAATGAATGTCAAAATAAAAACAAAAGCGTAGATCACCCACGACATGAACAAGACAAAATATCTGAAAACGACACACAAATCACACACCACCCCTAGGGTACGCCTCACTGTTGCCTTGCCCCTCGAAAGGTGACCGTCGAGTAGAGGATGTCTTAGTAAGTCCTCATGATCCGGGAACCTGGCATGAGGGTAGCTTCTAAGGTGTCTTCCCATTGCTCTGGTGATCACCATGTCCCGAACCTCGAATTGACCCGAACACCTCCAACGGTGGTGCTACCTACCTCTCAATGGTGGGATGGCACTACTTTAAAGGACATCTACACAGACGAATTCCTTAGGGTAGGTAGACGACTCTAGATACTTGCTCTAAATTTCAAAACAAATCAAAAAATACTTTTCACACCGACACCTTTTCAAAAAGCTTTCGAAAGCAATTTTTCAAACACTCTTGAGGACCGATACAAGAGTCGAACTGAAATTTTCAAAGAAACTTTTTAAAACCCACAGTTGAAAAGCAAACAAACCATTTTTGAAAACACAAATGAGCAAGTACCTAAGAGCCCATGGATAACCATGGATAGAAAGGGTGCTAACACCTTCCCTTTCTATAACCTACCTCCCGAACCGAGAGCAATCTCTATAAGGAATTTTTCTGTGCTTTTGTCCTTTCCCTTTGGAGAAAATAAAAGACGGTGGCGACTCTTGCTTCCGCGACATTTCGCGAACCAGCGTTAAACAGTCAGTGCCAGATCCACCGATCACAGAACTGGCGACTCTGCTAGGGAATCTTTATAAAGTGAGGTGTACCTTAGGGATAGTTCATAACTGTGTTTTCGATTGCTTTCTTTGCTTGCTTTAAATTGTGGGACTGTCTTGGGAGTTCTATAGATCCTAACCCGGATCTGGGGGGATACCTTCTTAGAAAGTAGCAACAAGGCTGTGAGGGAACTGTGTGGGGTATACCGACATGGTTGAAACAGTCTGCTACATTTATGTGACACTTTGGTGTGTACCGGTAACCCTTGAGTTCAGTCAAGGAGAGTACGGGGCCTCCGCGTGGTGTCGTGAAGCATCAACAGACCTTAGGAACCTTAATTGAACTATCTTGGCCTCTTTAGGGTAGTGAGATAACTGACTTTGGTGCAGTCCGAGGTTGGTTGATACTCGATACTACACTCAATTGAGGGTTGCTTTCCTGGAATATTTCGGTCGCCAGTTCAGTGGCTAAATCGAAACGATGAACAATGAAAGCAATCCCGTGATATTGGGACCCTTAGAACCCGGTTACTTCTAATAGGACAGGTTGAGCCCACCAACTTTAAGAGGGTAGTACCCCAAACTTCATGCCGGCCTAAACCCTAAGGGCTTGTCTTGTGTGCCTTGTGTGCCTTACATGTTTGTCTTTGTAAATATCTGTGGTGTGTTTAATCATAGCATCATGACATCATCATATGCTTTGACTAACCATTTCAGGGGTTCGAATCTTCATCTTTGTTCTTGTTTTGTAGGACATGGAAACTGTTTGCAGAAAGACAATTCAAATCAGCCTTGTAAGGGTCCCTCCTCAGCTTAAAGAACTTATATCTAGGATTCCCGAGAGCTCTTCATTCAGTGAAAGACATGGAAGACTCATCAGCTTGGTCAGTACCAACATTGAGGAAGATATGATAAAGGTCCTGTTCCAGTTCTTTGACCCTCTGCATCATTGTTTCACCTTCTTGGATTATCAGCTGGTACCTACATTGGAGGAGTTCTACCGGCTTCTGAAGATCCCTATCCTTGATCAACTACCTGTAGCGGTGAAAATCGGAGATCAAGCTATTAATTAACTTGACTCACAAAAAGCAAGAGTCGCCACCGCGCTTTATTATTTCCAAGGGAAAAGGGAAAAGAGCGAAATAAAACCCTAAAATATGCAATGTAAAATAATACTTAAAAATAATAAAAATACAATGCGTTTTTTGAAAGAGATCGAGAGTTCGGGGGTTGGTTATACAATGGGAAGGTATTAGCACCCAATGCATCTGCGGTACTCCGCAGGAACCTTTTGAAATATCTGTTTTTGGTTAAAATTGTTTGTTTGATTAAATTGGTTCGTTTGGCTAAAAATCGGTGTTGGAGAGATTTTGAAGATACGACAACCTAGTGTCGAAGTTTTGACTTAAAAGGTGTGAGTTTGAAAATGGGGTCTTTTGGGAAAATTATCTTGAGTTTAGCAAAATAGTAACCAAACAAAAAATGGAAAAGGGTATTCGCACGATCGGATGGGATGTATTTGATGACGTGAAGTCAACAAAATTTAAATCTTTTCCTTGGAGTTAAAACCACAGACGGATAAATAAGCTAAGAGTATATCAAACCTTAGGTGAAAATAAATCACAAGCCGACAACATCATCAAAAAACCTAATGTGAGATAATACTCCAAGCATCAGATAAAGCGCAAAGGCGGTGGATAAAGCTCACGGTGTCAGATAAGAATCCCTGCATCACAAGAGGTATACCGACAAAATCTAACAGCACGGGAAACTTATGTGCATCCGCACAATTTTCAGAAGTTAGTTGGAATTAAAAATAAAATCACAATGCAATGAAAATAATATTTTCAAAAAAAAACCTGAATTTATTTACAAGTGAAGTGAATAGACAGTCAAAATATTATGTACAAGTATATATTTACAGTACCAAACATTAAATCAGAATTAGTAAAGTAAAGAATACAATAAAAAGGGAATGAAGAAGAAATTGTATGCGCTATGAGAATGAATTGCTTGAAACAATTATCGAAAATCTTCACAATAAACAAACTCGTCAATAGCATAAGCGGTATGAAATAAAATGAAGGAAATTGCAACTATAAAAGTCTATGTCAGTAATCACAGAGTATGAAATTGAAATGCAATTGCATGAATGCATATGAAAAAATCATTAAAAAAAAAACTAAACAAAATATATAAAATTGTTAACTAAAGATTAAACAATTATTAAAATTATAAGAATAATTAAGTTAATTCTAAATATTACTAAGTCTAAAGTTAAACTACATTATCATCCAATCAATTAACTAATAAAACTAAAAGAAAACAAAAATAAATTAGTAACAATAGATAAAATAAAGTAATTAAGAAAGGTGTAACAAACAGTAAAAGAGGAGGGTATATGGAGATTTAGCTTGAAAGGTGATGAAATAATTAGTACCAGAAACATATTGATGGGTTGACTTGAGAATGTGAAGAAACACAAAATCGGTACCCTGTTCAGTGTTGTACTCGCATGACTGGCCAATCCAAATAGACCTCTTCCCACAAAAGCGCAACAGACTACTCCTCAGGCCGTGCCAATATTTCTAGTTCTCGTAGCTTAGGTGAGCTTATGAGCAGGCAAAGAGCAACTGAAATTTCCTTTGAATCATTGAAGTTTATGCGTAAGGAAAAAAAACTTGGATCGGTGCAAGAGGCGGGAAGCTTAGGCATATAGTACAGAACTGGTGACAGGTGGAAATCCACTGTTATTATAACCAATATTTATTCCCATCATCTTGCTAGGTAGACCTTAAGCGGTTCTATATAGTCCTCAAATCCTAAAGTAGCCATAGCCCATAACAAATCGTCTCCATTAATGGTCTTTCTCTTCTCTTTCTGACATTTCTCACTCGCCTCGCTAGTAATAAAACTGATGAATTCGGAAACACATTCCTGCATTGTATCTTTATCATTCTTTCTGTCAGCAAGTTGAACAAAGCCACATCCTTTACCGATTGGAATTTTCACGGAGACAACGTCGCCATATTGCAAAAACGGTTGTCTGAGATCCTCATCGCTGATTTCAGAATCAAGCCCTCCAACAAATATAGTTGTGTTGTTAGAATCCCCTTCAGATTGGGAACCTTGGGTGTGCGGTCTCATGATGAGAGATTCGAGAGACACCACTAAACACTGGATCATTAACATTATTGATTCTATCCATGTTAGTAAAATCATTTACAGAGACTGGATCTGAAGACCGTTGTTCAACGAATGAAGTACTAGCAGTGTTGTTACTATCACTATATGATTCAGGATGACTATGACCAGCACATACCTGATAAGGAGAAACTAGTTCCTTATGATCAGACAAGCAATTCCTCTGATTACTTATTGCATCATTCCCATCAGAACCTTCAACAGTAGCATTCCCGCGGAACTCAGTTCTCATATTGGTTGAGATTGAAGGGAGATAGAGGGGTTAACAGTGGCGAGAGAGAGATGGGGTGGGTTTGGGTGAAGTATTGGATTTGATTTTGGTGTCACGGAAAGGAAGAACGTTAGAGGGAATTTTGGAATTGGAAGTTTTGGTTTTTGTTTTAGTTGGTTTTTTGGTGGGTAGAGAATAGATGGATAGTTGACACTTTTACAGTAGTGCAATGTAGTGTAGTGTTTTTGGGGAGAGAGAGTGAGGTTAGAAGGAAAGAAAGAGTTTATTATTGTGTTGTCCCCCATCTACAAAGAAAGGAAAGAAGTGTTTATATAGACAGATCAAGAGGAAAATTTCACTTCTGTTTTGCAATTCATTGCTATTTTCCTGGATCGATCCATTACTCTCTCTAACAACCAATCAAAATAAGGCACAGTTTAACAAATAATTTTTATGACCAAAAAGCCCCTGAATGACAAAAATAAAATAAAACCTGAAAGTATAAAAAATAACTCAATTTAAAATGATTTTTTTAAATTTTTTCTGAATTAAAAATAAAGACACAGAATGACCGAAAACGATAAAAAAACGGACGAAAATTTATCCGATAAAATAAAATGAACACATTAAAATAAACTACATGTCACGAAGATTAAAGAAAAAATATTCAAGAAGTCAAAAATCAAAAATAAAATAATAATAAAAATATCAGACTAAACAGACGTTTAAGGTTAAAACGAGACTTCGAACTGTACCGAAAAAATAAAGCGAGCATACCATCATAATCTACGCGAAGCGCAGATTCATAAAATGATCGGTAAAAGGTGAAAACTTGAAATATTTTCTCGCTACTTTCTCGCATAGTGTCGAATCGCTTTTAACAGTTTGTCTATAAAACCGAAATATTTTTATTATCGACGTATAAACAACTTGGAGCAATGCAAGAAAATAGTAAACAGGTAAAAATGAATGATGTGAAACGCCGGGTATTTTACAACTGAAAGACGATGCAAACTTCGATTTAAACTGACTTTTCTGATCAACTTAAATACGACTAATGATGCAAAATGTGATGAATGAAGGTATTTACTAATGATTGTGACCAACTGACAAAATATGGTATGAATGTGCGACTGAAAAAATTAGGGGCGAAATTAAGGGTGCAACGGTGTGCCTTGATGACTCAATCTTCGAGAATCCACAATCAACCGTACTTCTGGCTTGAGAGATTTTGAACCCTAATCGAGGCATGACGCCTGATGCTCTTGATTCAGATCTGTTTCCTGCAAATGAAATCAAAGAAACAAAAAAACACACACTTCGTGCTTGATTAGAAGTTAGTGATACATAGGCTAAGAATGTTCAAAATATTTGACAATTTCTGCGTAGTCAATGCTCGAAGGTGAGACGTTAAAACCGACCGTATTTCGTGACCTTGACTTATCTTAAAAAATGCAAAAATAAAAATGGGATCTTAGGTCAAAAATTGGGGTACAACAGCTGCCCCTATTTAAGTTTCTTCTATCTGGAGATATGAAGATTGGGATCTTCATTTCGACGAGATTGAAGGGACTTAAATATAGAATACACAATTTTTGGCCTTAAGATACCGCGATTACGTTCATGATATGATATGAATGTAATGCTCTGAATTTTATGGGGAATGACGCCATATGAGACAGACTATGCTGGAGAAACCAAGCACATTATACAGTAATCCCACGGAGGAAGAAGTTGTAACTCCACTGGGGAAACAGATTATAACACCACTGGGGAAACAAAGTCATAGACTTCAAATGAGAGACTCTTGAATGATTTACATCAGTATTGAGACTGAAAAAGGTAATGATTTACATCAGTACTGTAACTGGAAAAGCATATGATTGACATCAGTACTGTGACTGGAAAACAAAATGATTGACATCAGCACTGTGGCTGGAAAACAAAATGATTGACATCAGCACTGTGGCTGGAGATAAACATCTCTGACTTCTGAATTTTACCAAGAACAGTAACACATTTCTTCTCTAACCAAGATATCGCTTGAAAAGGATAAAATAACAAACTTCCCCACGGGACTTTTTCGAAAGGGATGCCATTTGCTGAGTAGACATTATTGTTAGGGATACACAAGCTGCTCAAATAAAGAGGCCGCCACTTGCTTCATTTCAAAGGTGTCAATAACATACAAGCTGCTCATGAAGAGACCGCCACTTGCTATCTTCAAAGAATATTAAAACACACAAGCTGCTCATGAAGAGTCCGCCACTTGTTGCCAAAAACCCACAAGCTGCTCATAAAGAAGCTGCCACTTGCTGTCTTCAAAGAATATCAAAGCACACAAGCTGCTCATGAAGAGTCCGCCACTTGTTGCCAAAAACCCACAAGCTGCTCATAAAAAAGCTGCCACTTGCCGTTTTCCAAAGAAAAATAACGTACAAGCTACCCATGAAAGGACTGCCACTTGCTACTTATAACCCACAAGCTGCTCATGAAGAGCTGCCACTTGCCGTTTTCAAGGGAACAATAACACACAAGTTGCTAAAATAGATAAGCTGCCACTTGCTGTCTTCCAAAAATACTAACGTACAAGCTGCTCGTGAAGAAGCTGCCACTTGCTGTTTTCCGTACAAGCTGCTCATGAAGAGACCGCCACTTGCCGTTTTCAAAAAGTGTTGATAACATACAAGTTGTCCATGAAGAGACTGCCGCTTGCTGTTTTTAAAAGTGTTGATAACATACAAGTTGTCCATGAAGAGACTGCCGCTTGCTGTTTCTTTCAAGGTATCAATAACATACAAGTTGCTCATGAAGAGACCGCCGCTTGATGTTTTTCAAGAGAAAAATAACACACAAGTTGCTCATGAAGAGACCGCCGCTTGCTGTTTGTCAAGAGTATCCATAACACACAAGTTGCTCATGAAGCTGCCACTTGCTGTCTTCCAAAAATACTAACGTACAAGCTGCTCATGAAGAAGCCGCCACTTGCCGTTTTCAAAAAAGTGTTGATAACATACAAGTTGTCCATGAAGAGACTGCCGCTTGCTGTTTTTGAAAGTGTTGATAACATACAAGTTGTCCATGAAGAGACTGCCGCTTGCTGTTTGTCAAGAGTATCCATAACACACAAGTTGCCTCATGAAGAGACTGCCGCTTGCTGTTCCCAAAAAAGATACCCATAAAATATCGTGAAGATATTGCTGGAGGTGAGAACCAATAATTTCATCGAGGATGGACAAAATGCTCATGAAGAGACCGCCATTTGTCGTAGAGAAATCAGAAATAATCAAACTGCTCAAATAAAGAGTCAGTCGCTTGTTGTCATGTCGATATTCCAGAAGAAGGTTGTGCTAACACTGCTGGGGAATGAAGTTCATCTTCAATGGGGAACCATGAATACATCCTTCTTAAGGAGACCAAGTATTTACGTTGCAAAATAAATGCACTCTCCATCTAGGTTTCACAGCCTAGAGAGATCCACAGGGTATCGTTCACAAGAGACAACGCTCAATCCAGGAATAAACTGGAGAGAAAATAGTCAAACAAGACTCCACCCGATGAGGAAGCAACTCAAATGGGGATTTATCCTATCCAGAGATGGAAAAGGAAAGCTAAAGCAAGATTCTTCCACGAGAGTTAACTCAGTGGGGAATTAGAAAAGAGGCGCACTTTCTGCTTAAGTTGACACTCTACTTGGAAAGATCAAATACATCATTTGAATAGACACAACCAAGGTATACGAACTCAATGACATCAACAAATACAACTGTGCGTGCATGATGCCAGTGTGAATGAATAAATGAATGCCATATATGTGCTGACAAAACAAATAGACAAGATAAACTGGAGATGATAAGACATCATAGCACGACCCAACACTCGGCTAATCTCAACAGGATGGTAACATTACTGGAGATAGAAAACAAAAGCCATCAATGGAGCAAAGTCCTTTTACAAGGCTTAAATCTCTTTGGAGAGGAAGATATTTTCAGGTAGAAAACCCAAAGTCCAGTCTTCTATTGTCGACAATCCATTGAAAGGATAACAACACGACAATAATTCAGCTGGAAAAAGTCATGCTTAGCTGGAGATACTGGGAACACCACCCTCTGATAATGTGTGCAAAACATATCACATATCTTGACAAATCTAGATTGCCCCTGGGACCAATTTTGGATGCCCCAAGTTTACTGCTGATAAGCTGCATGTGGCACGATAATTCTTGCGAATAACTTCACTTCTAAAATGCCCCGAGCTATATGGTTGGTGAGGAGAAATCGTCTCAAAAGGATTTTACAAAAGACCTGGCATTCACCATGCTCTGGTGTCTTCAAACTCTTAGAGAGATTCATCAAATCTCTACGTGATTGCCCCGGATTGACTGTAGTCGGCACAACAAAGTCTTCGAATTTTTGCCCCAAACGAACAAACAAGTTGGGAAAAGCATTAACTGGGAGAAGCAACATGTTCGTGCTTCAGGTGACATGCCCCTGGATATGATTTTTTCTTGACGTGATCCGCCAATTACTCAATATAGTTTCAGGCCTTAAAAGAATAAACTCATCACTGGTGCTCATGTGAGCTTCCTCAATATCAAACAAATGTTTTGCAGTTAGAAAAAGTTTACAATGAGAATGAAAATTCTAATACAACAGTTATGTAAGTCTTGAAGATTTTGAAAGATATCGCACAAATTTTGCGAGCTAAAGCACCATTTATTTTTGTATAGGACAAACATATGATACCAACATAACCATTTAGAACATTCATGGGAGTCAGGAACACTATCTCATTGAAGTATGCTTTTAAAATAACCTTGCTTCAATTAGGACTTTTGAAGGTTGTAACGTGGTCTGGTTCATGGTTTTTAGAAAAAAGATTTTAAGGCTCAAAATATTTGGTGCCCACCCCCTTCATGATGTTCTCCAACCCTATGTTCAGTTAATTCAACATGAGCGTTCATCTCTCAAAAGGATTTTGTGACGGTCAAGGAAACGACGAGGCTTTCGGAGTAGAAACCA